GTAAACCAAGTCCTAACCGATATAAGCTGGGAAGATATACTAAGCAACACAGACCCCAACTTATGCCTAGAACAGATTAACTCGGTGGCACTCGATGTATGCACAAGGCTTATTCCTCTAAGAAAAAGGAGGAGTAGATGTAAAACAGAAAGAGACAGGCGCTCCCTTTACAGGCGACGGAAAAGAATAAACAGAGCGGCTAAAAGAGGTCAATATATCTGAAATGCGTAGGGAGACACTGGTCAGAGAAATAGCAAGCATCGAACTTAAACTAAAAGAATCCTTTAGGAGTCAGGAATGCGGGAAGAACTAAAAGCCATAAATGAAATCGAAAGAAACCCAAAGTATTTCTTCTCCTATGCCAAATCAAAATCGAGAACAAACGTCCAGTATTGGGCCCCTACTTAAACAAGATGGGTCCTACACAGATGACAGCAAGGAAATGAGTGAGCTACTCAAGTCCCAATATGACTCAGTTTTTAGCAAGCCGCTAACCAGACTGAGAGTCGAAGATAAAAAATTAATTTTTTATGAGAGAGCCACAAAATTTGATTAACACAAGCCTATCCGATGTTATCCTGACGCCAAATGACTTCGAACAGGCGATAAATGACATGCCCATGCACTCTGCCCCAGGGCCAGACTCATGGAACTCTGTGTTCATCAAGAACTGCAAGAAGCCCCTATCACGAGCCTTTTCCATCCTATGGAGAGGGAGCATGGACACGGGGGTCGTCCCACAGTTACTAAAAACAACAGACATAGCCCCACTCCACAAAGGGGGCAGTAAAGCAACAGCAAAGAACTACAGACCAATAGCACTAACATCCCATATCATAAAAATCTTTGAAAGGGTCCTAAGAAGCAAGATCACCACCCATCTAGAAACCCATCAGTTACACAACCAGGGCAACATGGGTTTTAGAACAGGTCGCTCCTGTCTGTCTCAACTATTGGATCACTACGACAAGGTCCTAAATGCACTAGAAGACAAAAAGAATGCAGATGTAATATATACAGACTTTGCAAAAGCCTTCGACAAGTGTGACCATGGCGTAATAGCGCACAAAATGCGTGCTAAAGGAATAACAGGAAAAGTCGGTCGATGGATCTATAATTTCCTCACTAACAGAACACAGAGAGTAGTCGTCAACAGAGTAAAGTCCGAGGCAGCTACGGTGAAAAGCTCTGTTCCACAAGGCACAGTACTCGCTCCCATCTTGTTCCTCATCCTCATATCCGACATAGACAAGGATGTCAGCCACAGCACCGTGTCTTCCTTTGCAGATGACACCCGAATCTGCATGACAGTGTCTTCCATTGCAGACACTGCAAAGCTCCAGGCGGACATCAACCAAATCTTTCAGTGGGCTGCAGAAAACAATATGAAGTTCAACGATGAGAAATTTCAATTACTCAGATATGGTAAACATGAGGAAATTAAATCTTCATCAGAGTACAAAACAAATTCTGGCCACAAAATAGAGCGAAACACCAACGTCAAAGACCTGGGAGTGATCATGTGGAGGATCTCACCTTCAAGGACCATAACATTGTATCAATCGCATCTGCTAGAAAAATGACAGGATGGATAATGAGAACCTTCAAAACTAGGGAGGCCAAGCCCATGATGACACTCTTCAGGTCACTTGTTCTATCTAGGCTGGAATATTGCTGCACACTAACAGCACCTTTCAAGGCAGGTGAAATTGCGACTAGAAAATGTACAGAGAACTTTCACGGCGCGCATTAACGGAGATAAAAACCTCAATTATTGGGAGCGCTTGAGGTTCCTAAACCTGTATTCCCTGGAACGCAGGAGGGAGAGATACATGATTATATACACCTGGAAAATCCTAGAGGGACTAGTACCGAACTTGCACACGAAAATCACTCACTACGAAAGCAAAAGACTTGGCAGACGATGCACCATCCCCCCAATGAAAAGCAGGGGTGTCACTAGCACGTTAAGAGACCATACAATAAGTGTCAGGGGCCCGAGACTGTTCAACTGCCTCCCAGCACACATAAGGGGGATTACCAACAGACCCCTGGCAGTCTTCAAGCTGGCACTGGACAAGCACCTAAAGTCAGTTCCGGATCAGCCGGGCTGTGGCTCGTACGTTGGTTTGCGTGCAGCCAGCAGCAACAGCCTGGTAGATCAGGCTCTGATCCACCAGGAGGCCTGGTCACAGACCGGGCCGCGGGGGCGTTGACCCCTGGAACTCTCTCCAGGTAAACTCTCCAGGTAAACTGTAAACACATGGTCCACACACCCCCTACCTTTCCTAAAGCCTCCTTGTTCATCTGCTATCCTATTCTCCGTCTTACTCTTAATTCTTTCAATAATAACTCTACCACACACTGCCAGGTATACTCAACAGACTTATCCCCCTATAATTTTTGCACTCTCTTTTATCCCCTTTGCCTTTATACAAAGGAACTATGCATGCTCTCTGCCAATCCCTAGGTACCTTACCCTCTTCCATACATTTATTAAATAATTGCACCAACCACTCCAAAACTATATCCCCACCTGCTTTTAACATTTCTATCTTTATCCCATCAATCCGGCTGCCTTACCCCTTTCGTTTTACCTACTGCCTCACAAACTTCCCCCACACTCACAACTGGCTCTTCCTCACTCCTACAAGATGTTGTTCCTCCTTGCCCTATACATGAAATCACAGCTTCCCTATCTTCATCAACATTTAACAATTCCTCAAAATATTCCCTCCATCTTCCCAATACTCTAACTCTCCATTTAATAACTCTCCTCTCCTACTTTTAACTGACAAATCCATTTGTTCTCTAGGCTTTCTTAACTTGTTAATCTCACTCCAAAACTTTTTCTTATTTTCAACAAAATTTGTTGATAACATCTCACCCACTCTCTCATTTGCTCTCTTTTTACATTGCTTCACCACTCTCTTAACCTCTCTCTTTTTCTCCATATACTCTTCCCTCCTTGCATCACTTCTACTTTGTAAAAACTTCTCATATGCTAACTTTTTCTCCCTTACTACTCTCTTCACATCATAATTCCACCAATCGCTCCTCTTCCCTCCCGCACCCACTTTCCTGTAACCACAAACTTCTGCTGAACACTCTAACATTACATTTTTAAACCTACCCCATACCTCTTCTACCCCATTGCCTATGCTCTCATTAGCCCATCTATCCTCCAATAGCTGTTTATATCTTACCCTAACTGCCTCCTCTTTTAGTTTATAAACCTTCACCTCTCTCTTCCCTGATGCTTCTATTCTCCTTGTATTCCATCTACCTTTTACTCTCAGTGTAGCTACAACTAGAAAGTGATCTGATATATCTGTGGCCCCTCTATAAACATGTACATCCTGAAGTCTACTTAACAGTCTTTTATCTACCAATACATAATCCAACAAACTACTGTCATTTCGCCCTACATCATATCTTGTATACTTATTTATCCTCTTTTTCTTAAAATATGTATTACCTATAACTAAACCCCTTTCTATACAAAGTTCAATCAAAGGGCTCCCATTATCATTTACACCTGGCACCCCAAACTTACCTACCACACCCTCTCTAAAAGTTTCTCCTACTTTAGCATTCAGGTCCCCTACCACAATTACTCTCTCACTTGGTTCAAAGGCTCCTATACATTCACTTAACATCTCCCAAAATCTCTCTCTCTCCTCTGCATTCCTCTCTTCTCCAGGTGCATACACGCTTATTATGACCCACTTTTCGCATCCAACCTTTACTTTAATCCACATAATTCTTGAATTTACACATTCATATTCTCGTTTCTCCTTCCATAACTGATCATTCAACATTACTGCTACCCCTTCCTTTGCTCTAACTCTCTCAGATACTCCAGATTTAATCCCATTTATTTCCCCCCACCGAAACTCCCCTACCCCCTTCAGCTTTGTTTCGCTTAGGGCCAGGACATCCAACTTCTTTTCATTCATAACATCAGCAATCATCTGTTTCTTGTCATCCGCACTACATCCACGCACATATTTTTAATATACAGTTCACAAATTTATATATTTACCAGAATTCCTGGTGATGTATCATTTATTTATAATTAATAGGTCCAGAGCAACTTGTGGATATGACAGTGGTAGGTATCGAAGGGGGACATTTTTTGCAACCTAGGTGTCCCAAATTCCTACTTGTCTAACTGATAAATAATAATTATCTTTGTTCATTTACTGTTATGTACATAATGATACATTCAGATAAATGCAATTTTCCACACCGGGATTAAAAAAAAAAAAAAAAAAGCTCGGATCTCGTGAAAGACATAGCAAAGGTATGGAAGAGGTGGTTAACACCCAGGTATCTATTTACTACCTGGTTAAGGGTGACAGAAGAGGTAGTGAAGGTGCCCAAAAATAAAGATAATAATTACTGACTATATCAACTCCACTCATGTTCACTAAACTTCAGAGTGGGAATACAGTGAAAATTTCACCAACAACGTTTTTGGTTTATCCTAGGTAACTCACACAGATGTTACTATGATAATTGTACTTATTTTCATGTGGATATTGTCATAATATCCACACCAAAGTCCCGAACTTAACTGGATCATACACCATGAAAAATTGTATTAATCGTAAATAATGCTTTGCTAAACTAGGAAAAAAAAGTTACCCAACAATTACATTTTCATCAGAGTATCATCCGCACTAATATTACTACATGCTATTACATCAACAACAACCATAAGCCACCAGGTTAACACATTTCAAAGGAAAATTCAGATACTAACTGTACTTGTGAGTTGTGTAACTCGAGATAGATAGAAATCTGGTCTAGTATTTCGTCAGCCCCAACAGGAAGAAATTCCAAGGCTAAACTTGCCTCCTCTTATTTGTAGCCATATCCAGCACACAAACGCTAACTCCACCCACATCACACCCCAGGCCAGTGCGTCAACACCCCCACCACACACAGTTACTGCTAAATTGTGCTTTATCTGTCATGTTAAGGTGAAAACTGACCATGAATCTCCATAAACAGCTGGTGTGAGGATGATCCTGACACAGTGTAAACACTACCTCAGCCACGATTACAAAATGACGTCACCCATAGCATTTCTTAATGATTACTTTAATAAGTTTATTCTGCTACAGGTACACAAATACAGCTGCATAAATTATTATACACGGTAACGTATGTGTAAATTATCTAGGATAATCCCCCCTCAAAAAATGAGACTGACCTATTTCCATTGAGGTCCTTTTAAATTATTATTATTTACATCTTTAATATTTTAAGTAAGTTAATTTTGGTACAGGTATGTACAAATACAGGTACACAAATTATCATACATAGTAACACAGGTAAATTTCCTAAGATAACCCAAAAAGTCAGAGCTATTTGTTTTCACTGGGGTTCTTGAAAGTACAACTATTTTTTTTTTCTGTAGTGTACAAAATGTAGTTTGCATGTAACAACATATTAAGCACAAAAGCAAGCCACTACTAGCATGAAGTGTATTTCGGACAAGATAAAATTAAACAAGGATAAAAATAGGTAATTTATTAAATAACTGGGGGGTTCATTTTAGGCTTTATACATTACATTTTTTTTATGATAGCCTTCTATAGTAGCTTATATAGACTTTAACTAGAGTAACCCAGTAAATTGAAAGATTGTGGCTCATTTCAGTTAAGGCTTTCGAAAAAAAGCTCTGAAAAATTGCTTCTGTATCCTAGCAAGTATATTTTTTTTGTAATTACTTTGTGAATAACATAATATTTTAAAACCAAAATACCAACTATCTCTCTCTTATCTTAACTATATGTAGTATATATTCACCAGTCGCATTTCTTAACACAAACTAACTCCAAAAATAAACACGCGCAAAAAAAAAAATCACTTGTCTTTTTCCTACCATCAATTTTCCAGTTACAATGTACATAATATCACGTGCAAGCATGCAATATAAACCATAAACATTTATCACTTTCGAAAAAATATATACATGGCGGGGTGTTTAAAAGCGTTTTCTCACACATTCTTGCACTTGAGAAGGAATTATAGATATATCTGCGTGATCCTTACGGGTTTATCGCTCCCCCTTAAGATATCCTGATCTTCCAAATGTTATTTATCTTACTCAAAACAAAGCACTAAACCCACAAGAGATGTCAAATACGTAAGCCCAATATCAAGGAGACTGTTTTCAACACGAGTCTATGGGCATTGTTCATTAGAATTACGAATATGTGGCAAACGAGTTTTTGGGCTAGTGTCCAGGGCGTTTCAAATATCAAGGTTCAAGCCACGTTAACACGCAGTAAGAAAACTGTGTTAGTCCTTTAGTAATTACCAAGTGACAACCATCCCCCCTCCCCATCACCCTCCCACCAGCAACAACTAACTACTCACCCCCAAACCCATCCACCAGCAGCCAACCACCGACCCTTCCCCTAACGACCTTCCCCGTCCTCACAAACAACCACTGACGTCATCACCCCCCCCTCCTCCAGGTCAGTGGTGCCATTTAGCCATGGAGGTCAAGAATAGTGGCGCCACTAGTCACTCTTCTGCCATCCACCACACCATCAGCACCTCCAGCTCCTCCAGTTCCATCGACCTGTAGTAATTTAAAAAAACTTGGATTACTCCAGTTTCATAGTAATTTTTGATCAGCTTTGAAAATATTTTAGCAATTTTTCTTTCTACAAAATGTTGAAGGAAGCATTCTAAATACATAGACTTCAAACTGCTGCTTACTGCAGTTCATGAATAGTAATGTTCATACCGTTATCTTTGCAGACATTGTTTTGGGGTGTTGCTGCTGGTGATATCTGAAGACTTGCAGCTGCCCACAACAGGGCCTTCACCACACAGCAGCTGCCCACAACACGGTCTTCACCACACAGCAGCTGCCTACAACACAGGGAATATCTTCAACCTACAAGATTCTATAAACTTAAGATCATTAATTAAAATGTTAAAGGAGCACACACACAATGATGTAGTGGAGGCAGGATCCATTCATAACTTTAAGCAGAGGTAGGATAAAGCTCATGGAGCGGGGAGTCACTCTCCCTGCTAGTTTAGTTTAATATCTAAACTAGCGGAAAGAGTGAACCAGTGAAGAAGCGGGGCCAGGAGCTGTGAATCGACCTCTGCAACCACAACTAGGTGAGTACACACACTGTTGAAGGAACACACAAGAAATAACAGACAAGCTTTAACTGCTGTATGTCAGCAGCAGGACAACATTCGCACAATTCGGGAGCTTAAGCTCAGGGGGAAAAAAAAATATATACCTACCCAACCCTACTAACAATAGTAGTAATGAGGCGGACAGCCTCAGTACTGCCATTATTAGTAGTTTGAGGTATGATACATTTTAAAATTTCTTGACCTTGGGTTTGTATTGTCAGGAAGCAAAGTGTTGCGACAGTGGACAGTCAGTGTTGTGCACGCAGAAGTGTTTGTAGTGACAGAATTCTGCGGCAATTAAACAAGTTGGAGGGTAAACTCCATAACGTACATTACAACCTAGCCAAACCTACTCCTAATATATTTAAGGGATAAGTGTCTAACAGGGGGAAAAAAAAAATTGATGGAAAATCAACTTGACTACTCTCCTCTGAATCAAACCTGATTGGGGACAGATCGATGAAAGTCAGAGTTTACCGATCTCCCTTCCCCCCCCCATTCAAACTATTTTACAAACGTGCACATTTACCCAAATAAAAATTCCCATAACTGGATAGTAGACAATCATTTAACTACCGTGTTACGTCCCTGAAAACACCGTGTTAGGTAAAACCGTGTTAGGTGAACTGAAGAACTTGTGGGAAAAATAGGGTTACGTTCCTGAGAGCCCCAAAAAAGCCAAACAACTTTTTTTAGGCCTCCACACCTTACAAAAATAAGTGAAAATATAATTGTAATTCATTGTTATGATGCATTATGTTTTTACAGCTGAAGATTACAAATGTAACACTATTTCTTACCTTAAATTGTGGGTGCTGGTGTTTGTGGATGATTGTGAAGAGTGGAGAGTTATGCTGTGGCCCTACTGGGCTGAGGTGGATGGTATAGGTTCTGGTATTGAAGTTGATGGTTGTACTGGAGTGTCTGTCATTCAATCAAGTGATTCAATAAGTCTCAAGTCATTCAGTAAGTCAGTCAAGTGATGGTGGGGTGGAGTCGGGGGTGGCTGGGGACGGTGGGAGGTCTCCCCAGCTGAACCACAACAAGGCGGCCGCTTGAGGAAAGGGAAGTTTTTTTTACCTTCCGGCAAACTAAACCATGTTAAATTCATCATACGACGTGTTACATAAAATTGTGCCGCAATTCTTCAATTGTGCCATACCCAAATTGTGCCAAATAAACTCATCCTAAATGACAGTCTACTGTACATATATTATCCATAGGGGTTATACACAGCTTGTAAAATATTAGGATATCAGGTGTGATCAAAGGAAGGGGAGGGTACTTGCAACTGCTTGTATCAAGATACCTGACACCCCCTTGAAGGGCATCCAAATTTAACATGAAAGTAGTTGGGATCATTAAGACATTGTATTTCCCCTACACTTCCACGTCCCTCATAACACACTAGACTAACAACCAACACTATGGGTTATCTAACCAGTTGGAGGCCTGCCGTATACCAGTCTCCTAACACACACTACTATGCTAGCCTGAATTTGTAACCTACCTTACCTGCCAGTTATGGCTGGCAACTTAGGCACAACCTGAGGACCAATACATTCAAGCCCCCACACTCTCTACCTCTATTTTTCTGGGTTTCTAACTCACCAGGGTTAATAATCCTATTCTCAGATTGGTAGTAATAAGTCCCTTCCCCCTTAACTATACTCATCAGTATCAGATGTTAGTGAATCCTTTCTGCCCACTTCACTTCAAATCAGATATTTTCATTATTAACGTCTGCTGCCAGAAGCGTTAGATTTCACTACTTACAAACTATCAAACCAACTGCAATTCTGAATGCTAATACTTTTATAATCATAGGAACCTGAATGCCGCTTAAATTTTCCAAAATGATGAAACTGTGTAAACTCAATGAATCAATATTTAACTTTGCCCAGTTTGGCCAAAGGTATAAAATACGTAGAACACCCACCGCAACCACTACCCAAAGCCCGAAGCCCACCAACATCCCCACAGGAACCACGTGCAATAACAGATTTCAAACAGCTTCTGAAGGTCGTTGGCGGGTTTCAAGGCCCACAGTTCTACGTAATCTATGCCTTCGGGGGAGATTACTCTCCCCTGCTATATGCATTCATAATGCATATAGCAGATTCTCCAGTTTTATTCTTAACCTAACTACCTAAATATATAAAACTACTTACAATACACTTATGGAAACCAACAATGGAGAAGCAATTCGAGACGGTCTTTTCGTTTCTCTTGGACGAGTATCAAGTCAGACCAAGGGTCAAAAAGTATAACAAACCACAAGACAGGTCGCAAAAACCATGGAAGGAGGGGGTCGAGTGAAATTACAAAAGACGTCAGGCGACCAAGTTTCAAAAAGCAGTAGTGGTGGTATAGACAGCAGTAAAGACAGTAGTAATAATAACAATAGTAGTGTAGGTAATACTGGAAAGATTTGCGGTAGTACCAATGGTGGTAGTGATAATGCTAATGGTGGTAGTACAGTGGACCCCCGGATAACGATTACCTCCGAATGTGACCAATTATGTAAGTGTATTTATGTAAGTGCGTTTGTACGTGTATGTTTGGGGGTCTGAAATGGACTAATCTACTTCACAATATTTCTTATGGGAACAAATTCGGTCAGTACTGGCACCTGAACATACTTCTGGAGTGAAAAAATATCGTTAACCGGGGGTCCACTGTATTAGTACTGGCAATAATAGAAGTGCTGGTAATCAAGTCTAGCAGTATAGTAGTAGTAGTGGAGGTAGTGAAATAGTGTCAGTACAAAAAAAAAAGTGGGGAAATGACAACACGTTAACCTTCAATAATAAAGTTCAACAGGAACTTATAATAAGCATGAAAAGAAACTCCAATATTCCTGTTGGTCAATGTTAGGTAAGAAATTAGAAGTAAATAAAAAAGTCTGGCTAAGAGAAAACCATCTTTTATCAAGGTTGGAGAGTAGAGTTCAAAATTAACTCTCCAATTTAGTCTCCAAGACTGCTGTCACCTCTGTAGTCGACAGATAAAGTCTACTCCCTAAGCGAAACATTTTATGAATAATGATACCTGCCACAATGTCTCTTACCAACCTGGTATTGTACACCATTTATAATATGAAACATAATAAAAGTTAGAGAAATCTGGTCCAGGAAAAGACATCAAAAGTAAGGCCAGGTGTAGTCGATAATAGTCTCAAAACAACCCAGGTTATACCTACACGTCTAAAGTTTCCTCCCTAAGTGTCAGTTTTGTGAACTTAATAAACAAGGCAACATTAGACTTGCCAAAGGCATAAAATACGTAGAACACCCACCACAACCACTACCCAAAGCCCGGAACCCACCAACATCCCCACAGAAACCACGTGAAATAACAGATCCCACACAGCTTCTGAAGGTCGTTGGTGGGTTCCAAGGCCCACAGTTCTACGTAATCTATGCCTTCGGGGGAGATTACTCTCCCCTGCTATATGCATTCATAACGCATATAGCAGATTCTCCAGTAATATACCTTCCTTATCCTACTTAACACCACCTAATTCTACAAGTTATTTTGATAGTAGAAACTAAATAATTGTAGACCTACAAAGTGTTGTGTGCATGTACTCACCTAATTGTACTCACCTAATTGTGGTTGCAGGGGTCGAGACTCAGTTCCTGGCCCCGCTTCTTCACTGATCGCTACTGGGTCCTCTCTCTCTCTGCTTCCTGAGCTTTGTCATACCTCTTCTTAAAACTATGTATGGTTCCTGCCTCCACTACTTCACTGCTAGGCTATTCCACTTGCTGACAACTCTGTGACTGAAGAAATACTTCCTAACGTCCCTGTGACTCGTCTGAGTCTTCAGCTTCCAGTTGTGACCCCTTGTCCCTGTGTCCCCTCTCTGGAACATCCTATCTCTGTCCACCTTGTCTATTCCCTGCAGTATCTTGTATGTCGTTATCATGTCTCCCCTGACCCTTCTGTCCTCCAGTGTCGTCAGTCCGATTTCCCTTAACCTTTCCTCGTACGACATTCCCTTGAGCTCTGGGACTAGCCTTGTTGCAAACCTTTGTACTTTCTCTAACTTCTTGACGTGCTTGACCAGGTGTGGGTTCCAGACTGGTGCTGCATACTCCAGTATGGGCCTAACATACACAGTGTACAGTGTCTTGAACGATTCCTTATTAAGGTATCGGAACGCTATTCTCAGGTTTGCCAGGCGCCCGTATGCTGCAGCGGTTATTTGGTTGATGTGTGCCTCCGGTGATGTGCTCGGTGTTATGGTCACCCAAAGGTCTTTCTCCCTGAGTGAGGTCTGTAGTCTTTGTCCACCTAGCCTATACTCTGTCTGCGGTCTTCTTTGCCCCTCCCCAATCTTCATGACTTTGCATTTGGCTGGATTGAATTCGAGAAGCCAGTTACTGGACCACATGTCCAGCCTGTCCAGGTCTCTTTGCAGTCCTGCCTCATCCTCGTCCGATTTAATTCTTCTCATCAACTTCACGTCATCTGCGAACAGGGACACTTCAGAGTCTATTCCTTCCATCATGTCGTTCACATATATCAAAAATAGCACTGGTCCTAGAACTGACCCCTGTGGGACCCCACTCGTAACAGGCGCCCACTGTGATACCTCTTCACATACCATGACTCGTTGCTGCCTCCCTGTCAGGTATTCCCTTATCCATTGCAGTGCCCTCCCTTTTACATGCGCCTGATCCTCCAGCTTCTGCACTAATCTCTTGTGGGGA